ACATGGATCCCATTTCAGCACCTGTGACTGCAATCCTTCAATTCCTTACATCGTTGTTTGAGGCTGCCCATGCGTATCGCACGATTAATTTGTACAGGTCGGCTATTTCTTCGGCTCATAACGGTTTTGACGGTTGTCCCGCGGGCCTACACCCCTTAGTGTGCCGATTGCTTTGGGGATCCCAACTGTCGAGCCCTCCTAGACCTCGTTACTCCTCCACTCAGGATGTCTCCTGTATCTTGTCTCTTTTCAGTTCCTGACCTCATAAAATGGACCTTTCCTTACAACAATTGTCAGCCAAGTTGGTCTCATGCCCTGGACTAGGATGCACGGTCCTTCACTCCGGACGGGGTGACCTTTAACATCTCCAGACGTACTAAGACTGCTATTCAGTTGGTAGCGTATCCGGCTTTTCCTGCTTCTCCGGCATTGTGACCTGTTTCTTGTATGCTCGAATATGAGCTTCGGACCAGTGCAATCTCTGCAACTATTTCTCTCGATTCACCAACCATTTTCTCCTGTTTCAAGTACTACTTTGGATCGCTGGGTGAAGTGGGTGATGTCACAGGCTGGTGTGCGTCAGGATTACAGAATGATCCAGCACGTAGAATTGTATAACACAGAGGACTGATAGGTAACGTATACCGGACCTTAGAATGGCCGGACTAACGTACCAAAGAATAGTCAGGAATAGCCGAGGTCAAAGGAAACAGAAAGAGACACAACGATAAGGAAAAGCCAGGAGTCAGGGATGCCAGAAAAAAGGGAAGTCAAAAACAATGCCAAAGTCAAATAACCAGAATTACCAAAATCAATAACGCGCTCTCGGACAACCACAAGGGAAACCACGACAGGGCACTGAGCAGAATGAGAACTGGGCCTAAATACCCCTCCTCTAGATCTGATAGGCTGTAACCGGCCTTTGACCCCAAAGAAGTTAACAGGTTACCATTTGCATAATTGCTGCTCAGCATTAATCCTTCTGTGGATTTGGTTGCTGCTCGGCACAATTTTTCCTGTGTGGACAGTAAATGTCATTAACCACATTTTTATAAGCGGATGAATACGTGACAGTGTGGGCACGTCCGTTTTTGGCACCCACTCTTCCCGGGGGGGAGTCAGCCACGTCTATAGTGGCTTCAGGTGCACGTCTGGAAGACTTGATGAGGATGGCAGACTGGTCGCATGAAGCCACATTTCGCAAATCTTATTTTCACATTTTTATAAGCGGATGAATACGTGACAGTGTGGACACGTCCGTTTTTGGCACCCACTCTTCCCGGGGGGAGTCAACCACGTCTATAGTGGCTTCAGGTGCACGTCTGGAAGACTTGACGAGGATGGCAGACTGGTCGCGTGAAGCCACATTTCGCAAATCTTATTTTCAGCTGGTCCCTCGCGTTATTTCGTCAGTTGTTGGTCAGCTTTAAACTTGCAATATGAGCCTCTGTGTCTTGAGATAAAATTACAAGATTTTGCTATTTCATGACGAAAAGTCAGGATTTTATTAAGACACGGAGGCTCCTATTATGCTGCACTCTTTCTTTATTTTCCCTCAGCAGCAAATAATTTTTTTTTTAAACATAACCAGTAGTAACAGTAAACAGTCTGAGAGGAATATTCTCTTAGCAACAGGAACAGCCAATCGGATTCCACTCTCCAGCATAATAGGCTCTGTCAACTAATCTGATTCCTCTTTCTTTGCTGCTCCCTCAGTTAAGTAACATCAGGTCCCACGGTTTCTTAACTGTGAGATCATTTTTTACATGTAATATTACTGTGATTTTCAGTTTAACTGTTATTTAATACTACTAATATTATCTAGTATTAGTTAACTATCAGTGGGAATATTATTTCCTATTATTTAATTATTTTGGTTAAATATTTCCTGTTTTAACAGTTCTATATAGTCCTTACAATTGTATTTTTAATATATATTTGTGCCCTTCCTTGGTTCCCTTGACCCCCTGAGCCCAGTACTATTAACTGAGCTCGGGGACGTCTGCAGGAACCACTGATACTCTGTCACGGCGCTTTCGCGCCCTTCCTACCAGTTATCCGTCCGATCGCCATCTTGCTGAAGTCAAGTGCGCGCACTTTCTTCAGTGTACCCATTCGTCTAATTTAATTCGAAGGCTTAGATACACTCATTCGTTAGTTTATGTTCGGGTGTTTTTACGCAAATGCACTTGTAACCTAGCGTTCGTTTACACGAACCCCTCTGCTCTCTCCCATTTCGGGAATTTTGCCGCTTACGGCGGCCATATACTCAGGAGCCTCATTCGACAGTTTGGTTTCGGATGGTAATCTTAGAAAGGTGTTTGTCCACACGAACGCTTCTGCTCTCTCCCCTTTCGGGAATTTTGCCGCTCGCGTCGGCCATTTTATTGCCTTCCAGCGTCCTGAAGCTAGCACTGCCCCCCACAGACCGGAACTCAGAGTTGGGGGTTAGTGCTAGTGGTGGTCGGACGGCTCTCTGTTTCTCCTGTTATCATTTATCATTATCTGTGAGTAATAATAATAATAATTTTTGCTATCCACTTTAGATTCCCTCCTTTGGGTTACTCAACCCTCCTCCATAGGTTTTGTTCTCATAATACTAAGGAATAATCCTGTCAGTCAATAGCATAATTATTTTGCCTTCTGACAAAGATGCTCCCACACCCTCTGGGTCTAATACCCCCAACCAAGGTGGCTTTAAGGCTGATGTGGCTTTAAGGCATTAAGGCTGATGTCTGACTCGATATCACAGACATTTACGCATGCCTTGATTTAGGCACAAAAATCGGCTCAACCGACTGTTGCCCAGATTTTGCCTGTCACAACCCCTATGCAACCTCAGGCTGGCCGCAAGGCCTTGGCTAAGGTAAAACATTCCTCAATGTCACAGATGGACAGCCATACACCTGTCACAGATGGTGCGACTAATTTGCCACCACGCAAAAGAGCCACTAGCCGGGTAAAATCGGCTAAATTATGGAAAAGGGCAAAAGCCCAACTAGATTCTGAGTCGGATCTCAGTGATATTGAGGAGGAGGCTTATATGGATTTGGAAGATCCATCGGATCCTGAATCAGATAGCCTGGTCAAGAAATACGACGCCTCTTGAGACTGCAATCCGCTTCAGTCTGATATACATATTGTGGAGCATAAGGCCCAAGGGGACACGGATAAGATTTTGGACCACCATGGGGAACCCCTATTTGACCGCGATGAACTGCGTCACCCATGGTCAGCGGAGTGGTCCCCCTCGGAACATGTGGCCAGGTATATAGCGTCAAGAGTACGCAAGCCTTTAGATAAGGTGACGCGGAATAAACTACGGGCAGAATGCCCACGTCCCACGGTCCCAGATAATGCCTGCAGAACACCTGCAGTTGACCCAAAAATGACCCAGTTCTTGGGAAAGACAGGCTGGAAACCTAATAAAGGCTTAGACTTTGCCTTGCGCAACTGCCAAGATAAAGTCTTAGACATCTTGGGCCCAGCAAACAAGATATTTGAAGTGGTCCAAGACGACCAAGAGCTATATCGTGCCGCTATAAATGGATGGATGGATCCAACGGGTTATTTGCTTAATTGGCAATGCCAACACGGCGATGGCCACGGAGCGTCGCAAGGCAATATTATTAAAAATAGAACCTAAGCTGGTTAATATGGCTCTGAATGAGCCGGGCGCCCAAGCCAAAGGTCTCCTATTCGAAGACAATTTTCTCAAGGAGCTAGGCTCATTCGTACACACATTTACTGCCCTAGACAAAGCGCAATCAAACATGCGCAAATTGTTTCACCCCAAGGTTTTTGGTGGGGCCGGAAGAGCCAGGAGCTGTCTGTCCGGCTGTGTTAACAGGAGTTCATTTAGACAAAACTGAGGCTCCTATACAGGACGAGCTAGTTTCACAGAACACCACAACGCTCCGGCGTTCTTCCCACAGCGTGGGCGGCCATGGGTTGCTCGTGGACCATGAAATGCTCACTCAGGACGACGACCTTATGGTAAGTTCTCTCAATTTTCATTCTTCCCTATGGGCAGTGGGGGGCAGACTTCCGAAATTTTTTCCATACTTGGTCCCACATTTCATCAGATGCTTGGGTATTAAACACTGTAAAAGGGTATACCATAGATTTCCTGTCCCTACCAGTACAATATACCCCACCACGGGAAATGACTTTTTCCCTACAAGACAAAACCCTTGTCACCAAGGAGGTCTTGGATTTGGAACACAAACAAGCCGTCTCAGAAATCCCTATGGCCGTACCAGGCTATGTGAGCAACCTATTCCTGGTTGCCAAGAAAGGCGGAGGTTTCCGCCCAGTGATCAGTTTGAAACAACTCAACACTTACGTATCCTACAACCATTTCAAGATGGAAGGAATACACTGCCTCAGAGATCTTCTCCAACCATCAGACTGGATGTTGAAGTTAGATCTAAAAGACGCTTATCTTACAGTGCCAATTGCCCCGCAACACCAAGACTTTCAGCAATTCATATGGCAAGGAAGGAAGTGGAGATTCACTTGCCTTCCATTTGGACTATCCTCAGCCCCGTGGTGCTTCACCAAACTCATGAAGCCCGTGATAGCTCTATTGCAGAGTCGAGGAGTACGTCTCATAATTTACCTGGACGACAAGACCCATCTAAACTGGACTCAAACTCTATTACAGAAATGCAGCTTCCTCATCAATTGGGAAAAATCCATTTTGCCTCCCACACAACACATGGAGTTTTGGGGTCTCATCGTGGACTCTACGTTTCAGACCCTACATCTACCAACAACGAAACTGAACAATATAAAATAGGAAATCAAACGCACTCTGGCGACTCCCCAGCTTACCCTCAAACAGTTGGCGAGAGTGATTGGTCTCCTGGCGGCCTCCATACAAGCCATCTTCCCAGGCCCTCTCCATTATTGAGCGTTACAACATCTACAAGCTTCCCACTTGAGAGACGGGGTCTCCTACACAGATATGATCACTCTGAACTCGGAAGCGAAAGACATGGTGGCTTTCCCATATGGAAGCCTGGAATGGTCGCACCATTTTCGGCACCACACCAGATCTCATAATAGAATCCGACGCGAGTTTACACAGTTGGGGTGCTCGCTGTGGAAATGTATCTACAGGTGGCAGATGGTCCGACAGCGAATCTACACTCCACACCAATTGCCTGGAACTCCTGGCAGGATCCTTTGCAATCCGCAGCTTCTCACCAACTCAAGCACAATGCTCTATCCTTCTGAAGCTGGACAATATATCGGCAGTCCGATGTATCAACCATCTAGGGGGCAGCAAATCAAAGGTCCTGGCAAACATGGCACAAGATTTTTGGTAGTTCTGCCTGACTCAGGGCATCTCTGTCACAGCAGAATATATTCCGGGGCTCTGCAACACCACAGCAGATTGGTACTCACGACACCTCTGGGACCCCAGCGATTGGCAACTGGATCTTCCGAGATATCCAGTCGTTATGGGGCCCCATGGACAAAGATCTTTTCGCCTCCCGCTTGAATACACAACTTCCCAGATTTTTCAGCTGGAGAGCAGACCCAGCAGCACTGGCAACAGATGCGTACACCCAAGATTGGTCGTCCACAAGGAATTATGCCTTTCCACCGTTTGCATTGATTCCCCGCTGCCTACTGCAGTTACGACGTCAGATGGGAACTCTGGTATTTGTGGCACCATTATGGCCCTCCCAACCATGGTTTCCCCCCCTCTTAGACATGGCAATAGACATACCCCGCATTCTCCCACACTTCGAGTACCTGCTTCAGGACCCGGACGGATCCCCTCACCGCTGGTACAACAAGGCCTACTGCATCTAACAGTGTGGCTAATTTCAGAGGACCTTGGGCAATCGTAGGAGTTTCGAAATCAACTCTCCACCTTCTGGAGGGCGCATGGGCGCCCGGCATGAGACAGGCTTATAAGTCTTCATGGAGCAGATAGCGTGATTGGTGCCTGGAACGAGATTTGGATCCCATATCGGCTCCTCTGACTTCGATTCTCCAATTCCTAACTTCATTGTTTGAAGACGGCAAAGCCTATCGTACAGTGAACCTGTACCGATCGGCCATTTTGGCCGATAGGACACCACCCGCTGATATGTAGACTCCTACGCGGCATCAAATTTGCACGTCCCCCACTTCCACGATATTCGGTATTATGGTATCATCCTCAATTTTCTCGAATCATGGCCAGACAATGCACTTCTATACCTGAAACAACTGTCAGCCAAGCTGGCTATACTCCTCTGTCTCATATCCTGCAAGAGGGTCTCCGATGTCAGAGCCCTGGACATTACCGCACGTTTCTACACCCCGGAAGGGGTCACTTTCGATATATCTCGAAGAACGAAGACGTCATCAAAGAAAGTGTTATACCCAGCGTTCCCTGACAGGCTGCTCTTATGCCCGGTCAAATGCTTACAAACTTATGAATTTCGCACCTCCACACTACGAGACATAACGAAACACGAACTCTTCATGTCCTTCCAAAAACCACACCTACCAGTGTCTACTCCTACCCTGGCTCGATGTGTTCTTTGCTGCTATTGGTGGATTATGTCCCTAGCCGGCATTGACATCTCACTATTCTCACCTCACTCAGTACGAGGAGCGATGGCTTCCAGGGCCTCCTTGATTGGTTGTCGTCCTGAAAACATTTTGAAGGCGGCCGATTGGTCCTCAGAATCTACCTTTCGTGACTTTTACTTTAAACCCATTCAACACTTCGCGGGAACGGTAATCTCCCAGCTTTAAACCAGCATAATAGGAGCCTACGTGTCTTAATAAAATTCACAGATTTTACTATTAACATGACGTAAAGTCATGATTTTATTAGCGACACAGAGGCAAGTATTATCCCTCCTGCCCATCCCGTAGAAGGATGGAATATGGGTAAGTTGATTTCACGGTAAGTCCTGGTAGTCATGGAGTTTTTTCTGCAGGTTACGCTTGTCAATACTTCACTTAACCACAATGGCTTAGGAGAATTAAAATTATATTATGACGGTTATGATAAATGCGTACGCACAGTTTTATACTAGGATATTACCATATTTCTCCTTTCTTTCAGCCTAACCTACTTTAGATCGTTAGGGATATCCCCTTGTTACACGGCCCCTTTTTCGGTTGGATGGTTATACTGCTTCGGGATCACAAATAAAAAGGAATCAGATTGGTTGACAGAGCCTATTATGCTGGAGAGTGGAATCCGATTGGCTGTTCCTGTTGCTAAGAGGATATTCCTCTCAAACTGTTTACTGTTACTACTGGTTATGTTTAAAAAAATGTTTTCTTTGCTGCTGGGGGAAAATAAAGAAAGAGTGCAGCATAATACTCGCCTCCGTGTCGTTAATAAAATCATGACTTTACGTCATGTTAATAGTAAAGTCTGTGAATTTTATGAAAGACATGGAGACGAGTATTGTCCCACCCTTCTGCGTTCGTCTACCTTGTTTTATCCTCCCTGCTGAGTTTTTCTCTCATATAGGGATTCCAGAGTGCTGTAGGTATTACGTTGTATGCACTGTATTTGTTAAGTGGTTTTATGCTCACGTATGTCCTGGTTCGATGTATTCATGTTTTTTGTATGGTGGGTTTGCACTGATTGTAATACGACCGATTTGTGGGATTCATGTTTATTGGCATTTGCTATTTGGTTTTAGTACCGATTTAAGCGTTGGGCTTATCACAGCTTGATTCAGTGTTGCTTGATGGTCCTCACTTCTTCCCGGTGTGTTTCGCTTAAGATGACTGGATTCTGTTACCGTCTTGGGGTTTGTTTCCGGATGGGAAGTTCCATGGACTGGATTTCATTACCGTGTTTTCTGGATGTTGGGATTTTCTGTTGGTTCCTGTTTTATGTCTCTCCTTGTGATGAGTCGCATCTCCAAAGAAAAAGGAAGCTTTAGAGGCGGTGCTTCCTGTTATACTGGGACATGGATGGTGTCTCACTGTATATGTTCTATTTTTTCTATTTGTGTTCTTTGCTGCTATTGGTGGACACTGGACAGTAAAGAAAGGGTTAAACAATACTCGCTTCCGTGTCTTTCATAAAATCATGACTTTTCGTCATGAAATGGCAAAATCATGTAATTATCACTGAGTTAGAGGGCAATACAGATTTAAGTTTTACTGCATGCTGTCTATACCAGTAGTTCCCTAGCCAGTCCTCGTGGCGCATCAACAGTCCAGGATTTATGTATTTCCCTGTTTTATTCCAATCGAAATACTGATAAAACCTGTTGACTGTTGGTGGGCCTTGAGGACTGGTTTGGGAAGCGTATGTCTTTCATCAGAGACAGTCAGAGCTTAGATACAAACTGGCAAATACAGACTGGCATAAAGGGACAAGATAAGAAACCGTGAAAGACAGACAGTCAAAAAGAGGGTGGTTGATGGACTGGTAAAGATAGACCAGCATATATGGGATAATTCATAGAAAGACAGACAAAAAGGGGGAACTGACAAAGTTTGGGTGAGATATACATAAAATGTTATTGATGCTTTTCATCCTAGAACATTTTAAATAATATTACAATTTAATGTGTACCCACTCAGAACAGACACCTTGACTTAATTATTTCATCTGAAAACAAGTCAGAGTAGAATTTAATTCCAACGGGAAGTTAAATAAGCAATAAATGGGTCAGCTGTTTTTAATAAGACTGACTTTAATTGTGCTTCGTAGGCACATTTATGTGCATTTCTTAATATGCTTTATAATGCATATCTTTTAAAATTATATTTTTATGGCAGAGCCAAACAGCCGTGACTTACACTGTGCAGTGAGCAAAACAACTATAGCTTTTATAGTTTCTTAATAGTAATACTGTGTACCTTAATCCATGAATTCTTCCTGAGATTGAGTCTCCCCATCCATATATCAGATAGAAGCTTTTGAGTACATGTGTGTCCTACAAATGCTCGAAGTCTTCCAAAAACAGCTAGCTTAAGGCATGTAAAACTGCTCCAACTGCTAAGTTCATATGTTAGCAACTTCATTGCCATTCTTTCATTCTGTTTGTGGGCTTTGTCTAGAAGTTCTAATGCCAACTTTCCAAATTCTCTAGGAAAAGAAAAGTGCAAGAAATGAAGGTAAATTTATGTTTGCTAGTATATTTTTTGTGCAAGATATTGCAGAAGAACAAATATGAATTCATAATAAAATAAAATTGGAGATGAATAGTGTCTGGACTCCCATCTTCTTTTCTCATCGGCTGCCAAATACATGCAGAGGATTATGGGAAATGTAGAACAGCTAGATGTCTAAGGTTAAATACCTTTGGTTAAGTAAATAAATGTTAGTTCTAAGTGTGTTATAATACTTTGTAACATGTTATGTTTTAGCACAATGTTGACTTAAAAAATCCAAGATTGCAGTCTTTAAAAAAAGAAAAATTAATGTCATTACAGTCTATTTATTTTTAAATAAATTGTAAAGATAATCTTTTTTGTTTATTGATACCGATCATCATACTTAAAATCTAACTGATTTTCAAGTGAAGATAATAATGGATTTATGATATATTAACTTCTTCAAGAGATTTCTTTAGTTATATCAGGAGACACATACAGAGCATATCTGTAATAAACAGTGCAACAGAAATTCTCAAAGCACCATTACCACTACAGTCACGTAATTATGATGCTAGGACGCTTTATACCAGTCTGTCTTTGCCAGTTTGCATCTCGACTCTAAATATCTCTGATGAAATGCAAGTGAGGCACGAAACACGCAAATGTTGTGGTGCCTTCCCCCTGTTGTATAACTCCAGCCATGAATTTTAAATAAAGCAATAAAGATACTTAACTTTAAATTTATCCGCACATTTTGTTTTTTTTTTTACAGATTTTGTCAAACTGTTTTCAAGCATTTTGACAAAAACTGGATTTCAAGGCACCCAAAGTCTACTGCTCCGCTTGGGACATTACTCCAAATTAACTTCCGCTTTATATATCACAAACATTTGTAAAGAATATTCATAAACTGCAGGCTCACAGTGCAATAAAATGTTTTGAGCAATGGGGTATTTTAGAATTCGACCACATTATCCACATATGATTAACGGACAAAGGCCTTCAAATTTTTTCCTTTTAATTTTTAAAAGTTTATTACATTTAATGAAACTTAAAGGACCACTACAGTGCCAGGAAAACATACTTGTTTTCCTGGCTCTATAGGGTCCTTGGGCCCCCCTCACCCTCTGGGCCCCCCTCCCGCCGGGCTTTAGGGTAAGGAAGGGGTTAATCCCTGATCTTTTTTCCAGCGCCCGGCAGTGGGGACTCTCCTCCTCCTTTCCCGTCATCGGCTGAATGCGCATGCGCGGCATGAGCCGCGTGCGCATTCAGCCAGTCTCATAGGAAAGCATTTCTCAATGCTTTCCTATGGACGCTGGCGTCTTCTTACTGTGAAAATCACAGTGAGAAGCGTGGAAGCGCCTCTAGCGGCTGTCAATGAGACAGCCACTAGAGGCTGGATTAACCCTATTGTAAACATAGCAGTTTCTATGTTTACAGCAGGCAGGGTTAACCCTAGCTGGACCTGGCATGCAGACCACTTCATTAAGCTGAAGTGGTCTGGGTGCCTATAGTGGTCCTTTAATGATATTTCTAGTGATGCATATTGATTGTTTTGAGATAATTTCCCTTGTTTTAATGTTCTGGCTGAGCAGCCGTGTTGGATTAGATTCTATGGTTGTCTGACCCACTGCTGCACAACCTAACTGGCCTGCTGCTGTGATTGCTCTGTGTGAAACTGCAGCAGCAGACATGTTAGGTTGAGCAGCATTTGGTCAGATAACAGTGGAAACTAAATCAACATGCCTGCCCAGCCAGATAAAAGAAAGACACCTTTGTTACACTTGAACTAGAAATGTATTAACCTCTTATATGTAGAAATTAAATAAACAAAAGTGTAACCATAATATATTAATATAATATATGGTAACAAAAAACACAAGGACTAATTACATTTCGAGAAATTTTTAGGAAAAAAAATGTCTTTCATTAATCAAGGGTCCTGTTTTGTAAATTCATAGCACTTGTATTAACATGCCCATCAGATACCTATCTCTTTTGACTACAGCCCTGCAATAATTCTATTCATATTTTAACAAATGAAAGAATAGAATGATATGAGCGTCATCACTGGTATTGTAACAAAATTATTTCACAACCCCAACAAAAATTCTTTGCAATTACTTGGAATTTTCTTTAAGTTTCCGCCATGTATCGTCAGCAATGTCACAAAGGCGAGCTTCGTGATACATGGAAAGATAGAGTTTTCTGGCTACCAACACTTTGGCCAAGGAGTCTTCACCATGCTGCCATAAGAACAAAGCCATGGTCTGTCTGTTGGTTAACACAGCCCATACCAGGAGCTCATTAAAAGGATGAGGGAAAGGTTTTGTGATACGATCTTCATTTTCTACAATTCCCGAGGTTTTCTTGACTTCATTTGAATTATTAACCTGTAGGGAGAAAATATATTTTTTTTTTGAGGTTTCTTTTTTTTCTGTTGTGTTTTTTTGTTTTTTTCTTAAATCATAATCTTTTTTATCCTGGACACGACAACTTTTGTATTTCAATGTGCTTTATTCATTTAATGAATGTGCTTTGTGCTGAATTCCCTTTGATTAGACACGGTTTGATCTCAACATTGTACCATCAAAAAAAAAAAAACACTTGTCAATAAAGAATATTTTTTTCTGAATGTATGTGAAATAATTTACATGGGCATAATCTTCAGGTGTATTGAAGGGAATAACCATATATTAATTTATGATACATGGATTCTCTACCACAGTCTATGAGGTCATGCTACTGAGAGTGACTGGCAGGAGGAGGAGCACTGTGCACTGCAACCCCTGTACTAATGCGACATTAGGCTGCCACTTCTGCTGTTTTATGGTAGCACTGGAGCTGGCACACCCTAACTTAGTACTCAGTTGCCTACACTGTCGCCAATTTAGTTCACTATCTGCACTTAGTTTTCAGTTTGAAATAGCTTATCTGGTTGAAGGTCGTGATTATAATTTATCTTAGTAAATTATCAAAAATATTTTTACTTAACCCCTTAAGGACACATGACGGAAATATTCCGTCACGATTCCCATTCATTCCAGAAGCTGTGTCCTTAAGGGGTTAAATTTTGAAGTTTGTGTTTAAAAACAAAAATGGTTAGTTGATATTCTTATAAAAAAAAAAAATAGTTCAGCTATGTTTAATTTTAATGATGTATATATATTACCATTTTCATTGTTGAATTTTCAAAGTACTCCTTTTATACAAAAAAATATATACAAAATCCCTATTAGTCCTGTATGATTAACTTTCATTCAAGAAGTAGTTATTTTCCTCAACAAAAATTTTTTTTAAAAAGCTCAGGGGCACACCCTAATAAAATGAGCTGCACACATCTATGAATAGAGGGGCAAATGCTGGAAGGGATTACTTTTATACTTATTACATGGTTCATTTTGGGTGTGTTCTAACAATTAGTTGACTGTTATTATTTGTGTTTAAATAGCCGTTTCCTTTCTATGATACTGCGTAGGAATAAGTGCAATGTAGCATGAAATGTGACTGTTTTGTACTTAATTTTTAATGGATGCATTAATTATATGCATTTTTAACCAATAAAACAGTCAAATTAAACATCTTTTTATATTGTATTTTGATAGATTCATAACAGCTGCAGCTTCGATCTCTAGATATTAAAACCCACAAATGAATCATAATACACTGACACAAGTGCCATTATATTGTGTTGTGTTGTGGTTTGGTGAAGGGGGGGGGTAGGGGGGGGGATTTGAACATCAGTTTTTCCATAGAAACAAAAAAATTCTTGAGGAAAGTCTTTAGAACGTGTTCTCAAATTTGTGCAACTATGTGCAACTATATAGGTTATTTAATTGGATGCTCCAAGTACCATGCCATCATATGCCAATTGCCATGATTGATTCTGCAGTAATATAGTAATATAGTTATTGCATCTATAAGATAATGGCAGGCAATGGAGGGTGGTGGTAGTACCCCTCTGTTTTTATTGCAATAAAAAGAATCATTCATTAGCATAGTAAAGACTAAATTAATTTAATAGATTAATAGATTGTGCTCTACACAACTTTATTGCTGTCAACCTATATCCTCTTCAACCTATTGTTCCTGTAAGTTTTCTTGCAATTGTCCCATTTATAGTTAAATCCTCCCTCTCATAATATTATAAAGTGCTACAAATTTTGGTGCTATATAAATAGCAATAATAATAATAATAATTGCTAAATAGAAACACTGATGAGAATGTGAGCAACCAATCATGCAAGAATTTGAGGCATTTCTAAATAATTATATTTTCTCTGTATAGAATCCTGCACTGCTGATGTCACCTATTGGCTTTGCCTTGGGCCATCAGATTATGGATAAGTGCCAGGGGACTACAGACACAATATGAGATGAAACGGTTAAATTACCTACAGTGCCATTTAAGGTTGCAATAAATAAAACTGGGGGACGGGATTATTTTTATATTTAGTATCAATACAAAGAACAATACATACCTTTGGCTTGTATGGCTGGGCTGTTTGAATAAAGTGTTCGTGTCTTGTGTTTGAGGAATTTGGTGAAGAAATGGTAACGGCATTTCTAGATGATCGCTGTAAACAGCAGGAAATAAGGTTAAGTTAATGGCATGTGTATGTGTGTATGTATGTATAGACACACACACATCTTTCCTTTCAGTTATAGTGCAATCACACATGTACAATAAAGTCAGTATACATCAGGGAATAGTAATCATAAGTACATTCTAAAATATTTCTACACCTATATAAAGGCCAACTACGGAATAGACCTTCACCATGTAAGTGTCTCCTGTAGGTGTTTGATTCCAGTCAGAGCCACAGTTTTTGGATGGATTAATTCCAGAAATGTATAAGGTCTTTGTGGATGCTCTGTGATTCATAACATTGAAATAGGTAGGAGCTGCAGGGATAGGTTTAATTGTCCATCCATTATATCACATTTTCTCAACCTATGGTACATGTACCTCATGGGGTACTTCATACCATTTCAGTGTCAGTAGTATCTGAATGGGATATATTCATATTTACTTGGAACTGTTATTTATGAGAATGAGTTATCGGTAGGTTACATTAAAAAAAATCTATTTATAAATTGGAATAAAATATCTAAGTATTACAGATAGCAATAACAGTATAAGGGTATTTGTGCATACCTGTTGGAGTGATTTGTACATTGCTCTGAAGGGTTTCTTGGTGTAATTGCATCTAAAGGCTCCTCCCATCAGAAATTCAACTACAAGTCCAATATCCATAAGGGTGATTTTATATCCTGCAGGAAGTGTACCCTAGAATAAATTACACATTATCAGGCACTCAGATGTGACAGAGATACAACTGTAGAGCCATAATAAAACACACTATCTCACCCCAAACACACATATATATATATATATATATACTGCCAAACTTGGCCTGGATACCTGGTTCTACTATCACAGGATATTGCTCTGATGTCCTAATTCTTTGCTGACGCATGTCAAAGAATGCATCCGTGCAAAATTTAATTTAATAAAGTTGTGAACATACCAGAATGCAATGGAAGTGTTAATGCACAGGCAGAGAGCTAGTGGATGGACTAAAATATTACTGTTGATATGCTCATGCTGCACAGCAGGGCAATAACTTCAACTACATTTTAAAAGAATGAGTTTGGGAAAGATAATTTGATTTCTTCAAACAAAGCAATACATTGGTGGGTGAAGGTAAATGAAATGTGATGTACACCACCACTCTAGGACATGTTATCCTACTGGACTAGGTAGTGTGCCACAATGATGCATGTTGTTACCACGAACGTAAGGTGTCTACCTGAGAATAAATGTTATGCCTGGGCACTCTCACTCTCCCTACCTGTAATTATATGTATTATTTTAATAGATACTATATTTGTGTATTTAGACACATTAGGTAAGAAGGTATATGAGATGCTTTCAGTCTTTGAAAAAGCAAGCAGTAAATGCAGCTCCAGTTAGCAATACCAGAGTATTGGCAATACCAGAGTATGGCCACTGATAAAGCTACCTTTACTTTGCCCAGGACATACTTGAAAACGAGAGAAATCTCAATGTATCCATCCTGGTAAAATATTTTATAAATAAATAAACCAATAAATAAACAAGGTTCTTGTTCTACTCAGTCTAAGTGACTATTAAACATACTGGTAGGCAAAGAAAGAACTTACAAATTATATTGGCAGGTTATATAGTTACATAGCTGAAAAGAGATTTGCGTCCATCAAGTTCAGCCTTCCACACATTTGTTTTTTTGCTGTTGATCGAAAAGAAGGCGAAAAAACCCAGTTTGAAGCACTTCCAATTTTGCAACAAGCTAGGAAATAAATTCCTTCTTGACCCCAGAATGGCAGTCAGATTTATCCTTGGATCAAGCAGTTATTACCCTAAATTGAAAGATTATATCTTTGAATATTCTGTTTTTGCAAGTATCTAGTAGCTGTTTGAACATCTGTATGGACTCTGATAAAACCACTTCTTCAGGCAGAGAATTCCACATCCTGATTGTTCTTACAGTAAGAAAAACCTTTCCTTTGCCTTAGACGAAATCTTCTTTCTTCCAGTCTAAACGCATGACCTCGTGTCCTATGTAAAGTCCGGTTTGTGAATAGATTTCCACACAATGGTTTGTATTGGCCCCAAATATATTTGTATAATGTTATCATATCCCCTCTCAGGCAACATTTTTCTAAACTAAATAGGTTTAACCCCTTAAGAACCAAACTTCTGGAATAAAAGGGAATCATGACATGTCACACGTCACGTGTCCTTAAGGGGTTAAATTTGTTAACAGGTATAACTGTTGTTGTAGGACTAGGATTATCATTACACATGCAAGTACTCGCTCCATAAAAGAGGCAGAATAGCCATCCAATACTTCTGTAGCCATATATCTACCATCTTTTTGGAGACTTCATTTATAGTAGAATGTTAGAGATCATCATTTTATGTGCTATCAATAAATAATTGGAGCCCTATTATGGTCCAAACAGTGACCAGTAGTTTTTAAAAATAGGTGTCAAATTATGGACCATAGAACAACCCAAAGTGCACGTCGTGTCTCCAGGGGGTAGACCTGCATAGGACTTCCCCCATTGTTTTGGAGACCACAGGTAACTATAAATATATATTGTTCATCATTTTGTTGTATATTTGATATTAATTTGGAATAAAGTTGCGGTTCCTTTTGGCATTACTAAATATTTGTATATGCAGTTAGGTAAGGAAATATTTGGACACTAACACAATTTTCAGAATTTTGGCTCTGTATGACACTACAATGGATTTGAAATGAAATAACTGAGATGCAATTGAAATGCAGACTTTTAGCTTTAATTCAAGGGGTTGAACAAAAATATTGTCTGAAATGTTTAGGAATTGCAACCATTTTTATACACAGTTCCCTTATTTTAGAGGCTCAAATGTAATTGGGCAAATTAATACAATCATAAATAAAATGTAGAGTGGATTCCTCTCAAAAGGATACCAATTGGAAGTACTGGTGGTGAGAGAAGAATTATACAACAGTCGAGAATCCTTTGCAGGCAATGACTGCTTGAAATCTGGACCATATGGATATCAAAAAACACTGGGTTTCCTCCTTTGTGATGTTTTGCCAGACCTTTACTGCAGCGGTCTTCAGTTGTTGTTTGTTCTTGGATCTTTCTGCCTTAAGTTTTGTTTTTCAGCAGGTATAATGAAGCCCGGGGAACAGCTAAGCTAAGTGGAGTGGGCCTTGACTTAGCTAGAAGGCAGGCATTAGAATAGGGGGAGTGGATTAGGGAATTTGGGAAGGGGTGGCCTATAGCCACATAAATGGCGGCCATTTTTGGGAGAGCCCCCTTTTAATTTAATTCCCACTTACTTGTTGTCCCACCGTCTCTCCCTAGTATTGGGGTGTATCCCTTGTTTTGGTCACGGAGGCGGGGGATGGATAGGATAATTGGGTGTAGATTGGCTTGATAAGTGGAGGGAAGTTCAGGAGCAATAGTTATGTTTCCATTGATTTGGTAGGTTCGAGCTCGTCAGTAGCTCTGAACCTGGGTGTGTAGGGGTATCTCAGTATACCCTTACAAGTGGTTAAAGATGCCCTTGGTGGCTGTGGAAAAAGATGCCCTTGGTGGGGGTCATTGTCTGTAAATGTTTACATTGAAATTTGTTGGGCGTCAATGTCTTTAAGTTCATTGTTAAATGTTTTGTGTGCTCTCCTGTCCTGTTGATTCTCTCAAATAACTAGTTGTTTTTGGTTATGCAGCCTGTACAGCACCATCTGTTGGTTGTGACAATATTGAAACAGCCATATGCACTACCTGAATAGCAAGGCTCGTTAATTTGCATATTTAGGACTTGCACTTTAAAATTCAGGACCTCCGAAGGTGCACAACTTTGGAGATCGAGTACATCATAAACACTCCTGAACTCTAGCGGTGATTCAAGGAACTGTCAGACATAAGAGGCACTTAGGGGCCATCACATGAGAGTTGTGCTATATCATTTAGTAAGTGTATTCAGTGTGTCGGGGTGTGCCATGGTTTTATGCAATATTAATCTATGATCGGTTTTATGTTTTTCATGTAAAAAAACAGCTATCTTTTATATTGTAATAATACATTTGAACCAGTAACACCAAAAGGCTATGCTTATTGTATGAAAACATAGTTCACATGGTTTTATCCTATTTAAGTACACTCAGGGCCGGCGCGTCCTATAGGCGACTTAGGCAGTCGCCTAGTGCGCACCGGACCGGGGGCACTAGATTTAGGTGACCGGCAGGAGGGAAGCGCACAGCGCTCTCTCCTGCTGGAAACTCAATGTAGCGTGGCCAGGCGGGGCGAACCGCAGTACAGGAACTTCTGTTTCCTGTACCCGGCCACCGGCGGACTGACAGGAAATTCCTGTACTGCAGTCTGTGCCGCCCGGCCACGCTACATAGGTAGGAGGCACAAAAGGGAGGGAGGACCACCAAGGGGGGGGTGGGTTAGGGGGGAAGGATCACCAAAGGGGAGGGTAAGGACCACTGAGGTGGGGAAGAGGGAGAAAGGACCTCTAAAGGGTGGGGGAGGAGGGGAAAGCACCACTAAGGGGTGGGGAAAAGGGGAAAGGACTACTAAGGGGTGGGGGAGGAGGGGGAAGGACCACTAAGGGGAAGAAGGTTAAGACCAGGGGGACCACTAAGGGAGGAGGGGAAGGACCACTAAGGGGTTTGGGAGAGGGGGGAGGACCACTAAGGGGTTGGAGGGAGAGGATGACCACTAAGGGGAGGGAGGACCACTAAGGGGAGAGGGGAAGGACCACTAAGGGGTTTGGGAGAGGAGGAGGACCACTAAGGGGGTGGGGGAGAGGATGACCACTAAGGGGGGGGGAGAAGGGTGAGTGAGAAGACCACCAAGGGTGGACTGCAGAGGGACAGGAGGCCAAGGGAGAGCACTAAGGGACAGGAGGGCAGGAGAGAGCACTAAGGGACAGGAGGGGAGAACACTGAGGAACAGGAGGGAAGGAGGGATCACTAAATGACAGGAGGGGAGAGCACTCAGTCCCTATCCTACCCCACAAACCCTCTCTTTTACACTACACACATACACAATGCATCCACACACACAGAAATATACAATGCATCCCTACTCACACACAGACACACCAAAACACACAATGCATCCCTTACTCGCACACAGAAACAAAATGCATCTCTTAGACACACTCAATGCACCCCTTACAGACACACACTGCATTGAATTACATACACAGAAACACACCTTGCATCCCTTACACACACACATCCAGAAACATACACTGCATTCCTTACACACAAACAGACACTGCATCCCCTATACACACACTACATCCCTTACACAAATTGGTATCCCTATACACTACATTCCATACACATTACATCCTCTACAATAACACATAACACATCCCCTACACACATACACTCCACTCCCTGTGAGAGAACTCATAGGTGGGCCATGTAGGTGGATTTATGGGTGGACCTTGTAGGCATACTCACTGTATGGCTCCAAAAAATGGAACTGCTTCCTGTTCATTAATTGATGTGAGCACTGTTACAAACAGTCTCCAGAGAGCCTGTTTTAACACCAGACCTGTGGAGCCAAACTGCAGCCTGAGCCCATCATCATCCTCTTTTCCTCATCTGGTGGTAAGTAGGCAATCCAGTATATTATTAGTGGTACTTATACCTAATTTACCTCACATTGAAGGGCCCCTATAGTCACCAGAACCCTCTACAGTTTGATGTAGTGGTTCTGGTGTCTATAGCCTGTTCCTGTAGGCTTTTTAATGTAAACACACTGCCTTTTCAGATAAAAGACACTATGTGCAGCACTGACGTTGGCTTATATGGCAGATCATATGGGTGGGGCATTGCGATGTCACATGGTGGGCAGGACAAAATCCTTGCACCGACCCTGAGTACACTATTATGCTCCAACCTTGTTTGTTTATTTTTTTTATTCATAGCCTGTTTTGGAGATTACTGCTTGGTTTTGGCAGCAGATTTTGAGTGTCTTCTGTGGTTATGGTGCTTTTTTAACAAATAGCTTGTGGTTTTAGCCACATGTCTTTTAACACCTGTACAACCCCTAACAGATGTGATGTAAAAATAACAACTGAGCACTACTTTGTCTAAACTAAACATATCTAAATGCAACTATATCAGTTTCAAGGTGTAACCAGCTGTATATTATCCAAAACCCGGATGGATCAGTCATTACACCTAGCACCTCGATACTCTCATCATGCAAAAATCTGTTTTTAAAAATTCAAACGGATTACCTTCTTGACGTCCTGTATAAGGTGCAGTAAGGTGGTGTTTGCATGTTGTTTCTAACATTGAAAAAAAGAGAAACAAACATTAATCTTGTTTGATATTAATTTTATGTTCTTAGTAAGTTTAAATTATTATTATTATTATTATTATTATGCTATTTATAGAGCGCTGTCAAATTCCGCAGCGCTTTACATTGGGTGGACGAACAGACATGTAGTTGTAACCAGACAAGTTTGATGCACAGAAACAGAGGGGTTGAGGGCCCTGGTCAATGAGCTTACATGCTAGAGGGAGTGGGGTAAAATGACACAAAAAGGTAAGGATAGTATTAGACTAATGACAGTTGCAGAAGAGGAATCAGTTGGGAGCTATTAACAGTTTAATTGATACGCTTTTATCAACAGATATTTTTGTTAGCAATTCATTAGCTATTAAATTGTAGGAAATATGATGCATCTCGTTCATTAGCAGCATTAGACCAGCTAAGTAATAACGAGAAAATAGAAAGCATAAAATAGACTGCCTATTCCTATCCTGTGACAACAGGTTTACTCTCTCAAATGAATTTCCTCCAGGATTGTATTGCTAAGAATACATATACGATTCCCAATAAAGAGGCAGACAATTGCCCAGATCACCTAACTTGCAAAGACTTCTCATTGAACTGCATTGGGAAGCCTGTGATTGGACAGCTGCAAAACATTGCATCTAAGCCACTTCAAATCTTGGAAAGTATCAGAGATTTCTACTACATTTAAAATTTAAGTTTAAATCAACTTTAAAGTCAGAGTAGTCAAACAGAGTTGACTAAGATAATTTTTTGACCTTTTGAAATTTAAAATTAACTTCATTAATTAGTTCATTTTGTATTGGATTGGTTTATGCAGGGCTATCCAAGATGAAATGCTAGATCCTAAATGGATTTTAACTCTGTGATTGCATCTGTTTTAACTAATACAATGAATTATTATCAAAGCAGACTAGAATAAACATGTGTAACTTACTGTGTTATACAGTTCCTCCAGTCTGGGTATTGTAAGGAATCTGTGTAAGTTTACTCCATTTTCAATCAAAAGTTTGACAAATGCAACTCTGTTCATTATAAGCGCATCCAACATGGCTTGTTCCAAAGGCTCTGTCTGCAGAAAATAAATCATTCATTAATTTTTGACAATTTTATTTTTTATTATTTAATTGGATAGCCATGCTTGTTAGATGGCAAGTAGTGGGTCGTCTTATACTGCTTGTTACCTTAAGGAACAAATAATATAAAACAAATACATCATTTATAGTATGTAGTAAACATTCCCATTCTTCCAATTAGTGTTCCAGCATGTAATAGCATTCATATGTAGCATTGATAAATGGCATACATGGTACAAAAAATGTTACGTCACCTATGTGGACTAGATCGTTTATAATGAGGGCATGGAGTTACTTTATCTCTTGTACAGAGGGGATATTTCTGATATTTATATTTATGAACTGCCCTTGGTGGCATCAGTCTATGTTAGTAGTATGTGTTTTTGTGTAATGGCACAAATTAGCTAAAATTCAGGTGAGTTCGACCCACCCAAGCATGTTAACATTTTACCCATTATTGGTTTGTCTTTTATTTTGCATCCAAATAACAACATTCTGATCTTTAACCCCTTAAGGACCAAACTTCTGGAATAAAAGGGAATCATGACATGTCACACATGTCATGTGTCCTTAAGGGGTTAATATATGGCTGCTCATTGAATGATATATGCAGGGTTGGTGCTATTGCTAGGCAGACTAGGCAGCCACCTAGGGTGCACTGGCCCGGGGGGCGTAATATCCAGGGTCCGGGTGACTGGCAGGAGAAGAGTGCACAGTACAGTGCTTAGCCCACTGCTGTGCAAACTGAGGGTAGAGGATCTTCTGAACCCTTTACCTGGGAGCTACAAACAGCTTCCTGTCAAACCAGATAGCGGATACAGAAGGTTCTATCCGTGGTCCACTTGGCCACACTACAAAGAGGAGGCGAGCAGGCACGGAAGGGGAGTAAAGAGAAAGAAACCCATAATTGCCTAGAGATGTGGAAAGGGACAATGAGTGACACAGAGGGTTTGGGAAAGGGAAGGGGACAATGACACACAGAGGTATTTGGAGAGGGGAAAAAAAGAGACATGCAAAGGGGCTGGAGGAGAAGGGAGATTCAAAGAAACTGTAAGAGAAAGACACACAAAAAGTAGTGGGGAAAATAATAGAAACCATGTTAAAGGATAGAATTGTTCAACATCTAAAAACACATAGATTTCAAGATCAGACACAACATGGGTTTACTCCAGGGAGGTCATGCCAAACTAATCTTATTTTTTGTTTTGTTTGGGTAACTAAAATTATAGATCATGGTGGTGCAGTAGACATTGCTTACCTAGATTTCAGTAAGGCTTTTGACACTGTTGCAAAGAAGGCTTATCATTAAACTGCAATCTTTAAGTTTGGATTCCAATATTGTTGAATGGGTAAGGCAGTGGCTGAGTAACAGGCAACAGAGGGTTGTAGTTAATGGAATATATTCAAAGCTTGGACTTGTCACCAGTGGGGTACATCAGGGATCTGTTGTCTTTAATATTTTTATTAGGGATATTGCAGAAGGTCTTGATGGTAAGGTATGTCTTTTTGCTGATGATACTAAGATATGTAACAGGGTTGATGGTCCAGGAGGGATAAGCCAAATGGCAAATGATTTAGGTAAACTAGAAAAATGGTCAGAGCTGTGGCAACTGACATTTAATGTGGATAAGTACAAGATAATGCATCATGGATGCAAAATCCCAAGAGCAGAGTATACAATATTTGAGTCCTAACCTCAACATCTGAGGAAAGGGATTTAGGGGTAATTATTTCAGATGATTTAAAGGTAGGCATACTATGTAATAGAGCAGCAGGAAATGCTAGCAGAATGCATGGTTGCATAGGCAGTAGAAAGAGGGAAGTGCTCATGCCACTGTAGAGAACACTAGTGAGACTTCATTTGGAGTACTGTACGCAATACTGAAGACCATATTTTAAGAAGGATATTGATACTTTGGAGAGAGTTCTGAGAAGGGCTACAAAACTAGTTCATGAATTACAGGATAAAGCGTACAAGGAAAGGTTAAAGGATTTAACATTTAAATACATAAAGGGAATCAACACAGTAAAGGAGGAGACTATATTTAAAAGAAGAAAAACTACCACAACAAGAGGACATAGTCTTAAATTAGAGGGGCAAAGTTTTAAAAGTAATATCAGGAAGTATTACTTTACTGAGAGGGTATTGGATGCACGGAATAGCCTTCATTGGCGGATCCAGGGGGGGGGCAACGGGGCAATTGCCCCCCCGACATTCCCCCCTGCCGGCTAACGCAGGGCTGGCATTGCCCAAGTGCCAGCCCTGCAATGTGCCTGAGGACCGGGGAGGAAGATCAGAGATCAGAGATCTCCCTCCCCGGTCCGCAGGCACCGTGCTGACAGGCGGCGGGGGAGGGAGTGAGAGAGAGTACCCGGAGCTCAGTCTGCAGCTCCTCCGGGTCCTCCTCTCTCGAGATTTGGAGCGTTGCCGCGGTTACCACGGCAACACTCCAAATCTCGCGAGAGTGAACTCTAGCCCGGGAGCGTGGGCTAGAGTTCACTCTGACCACCTGACCACCAGGGAATCACCACTGGGACCACCAGGGAAATGTCCCCCCTACTCCTAAATAAAGGTAAGAAGGGAGGGGGGACACAGAATATTTATTTTATTAAATAAAATAAAAATAAATTATTTAAAAGCCACACTGCCCCCCCATTACACACACTGCCCCCACATTACACACACTGCCCCATTACACACACTGCCCCCTACACACCACACACTGCCCCCACACACACACACTGCCCCCCATACCACACACACTGCCCCCATTACACACACTGCCCCCATTACACACATCACCCCCATTACACACATTACTGCCCCCCATACACACACACTGCCCCCATTACACACACTGCCCCCCATTACACACACACACTGCCCCCATTACACACACACACTGCCCCACAACACTACACACACACCGCCCCACAAACACTGTCCCCATACACACACCGCCCCAAACACTGTCCCCATACACACACTGCCCCCATACACACACTGTCCCCCAAACACACACTGCCCCACAAACACTGTCCCCATACACACACCCCCATACACACACTGCCCCACAAACAATACACTGCCCCACAAACACTATCCCCATACACACACTGCCCCACAAACACTATCCCCATACACACACTGCCCCCCATACACACACTGCCCCACAAACACTGTCCCAATACACACACACTGCCCCACAAACACTGTCCCCATACACACACTGCCCCACAAACACTGTCCCTGACATACACTGCCGCACTCACACACTTCACCCTTAACACAGACCACTGCTCCTATACCCTATATCCCAGCAGACCCCAGGTAAGTTGTCAAACTGTTCTTAAACGGTATGACTACTTACTCTGGGGTGGAATCCTGGCACTACTGACACCATAACTACTACACAGAGCTGTAGTGGTTATTGTGCCTGGATTATTTATTTAAATAATCTACAAGTGCCCCTCCCGAGATCAGGCTCTGGATCCGCCACTGATAGCCTTACAGCTGAAGTGGTGGAGGTTAACACAGTGAATAAGTTTACGCATGCGTGGGATAGGCATAAAGCTATCCTAGCTATAAGATAAGGCCAGGGACTAATGAGAGTATTTAGAACATTGGGCAGACTATCTGCCGTCACATTCTGTGTTTCTATGTTAAAGAGTCTGGGGGTAGAGGCACAAAAATAGGTTGGGGAGAAAGAGACAAACAAAAAGGCTGAGAGAGGAAGAGACACACAAAGGGGCTAGAGGAGAAAAACACACACATAGGGGCTGGGGACAAGACACATAGAAGGGCTGGGGGGAAGAGACACAGAAGGGCTGGGGGAAGAGACACAAAGAGGGACTGGGGGGAAGAAACACACAGAGCGGCTGGGGGGAAGAAACACACCGAGTGGCTGAGGTGAAGAGACGCATATAGGGTCTGGGGATAAGAGACACATATAGGGGCTGGGAGTAAGACACATGTGAGGCTTGAGGTAAAAAAGACACACAAAGGGGCTGAGGCGTAAGGGACACACAGGGGACTAGGGTGAAAACACACAGAAGGGCTGGGAGCAAGAGACACACAAAGGGTCTGGGTGGGAAGAAACACATAGGGAGCTGATAGCTAAATTGATAGCTAAACTTAAAATATATTTACAGTTGTGTCACAGAGGACTTGTACCTGTGTCATCTAGCCAGTCACATTGCCCTTCATGGCTAATTGTCAATACACAAAAAAACAGGGGATTTACCCTGAATCTGATGCTGCAAATATATTAGTAAGAAGAAGAAGGGGTATGTGAAAATGGATGGCCCTCATAGTATTAAACATTCAACCTGCCTCTATCCACCATCAGTATTAGTATACAAACAGCAGTTGGTATCCTGAAAGGACATTCACAAACATCAGCCACACGTAACCCTAGTAAACAGTGGTTACATACTCGCCCCTGTTGTCCGTGGAGGAAAATATTATTTTTTGCTATGTCTACTCTGTTCCATGTGAGCGCAAGGACAAGTTGATCATTTGGAGATGTGTTGGTGCCTATGTAAAATAAAAGTTGAAATCAAAAATTATAATTGCACAATGTTAAAATATGGACTGACTTTTTCAAGACATTGGAAACCTGGCTATGTCAGAAACAATTGTTTGTTTACATCATACATCTACTTATAAAAAGATCTTCACAAAAATGTTCCCCTGTCATATGTACGTTGTAAAGAGATATGTCATACTATAGAGGTCCATCCTTACAATGAAGGTTTGTGCATGAACATCATATCTGATAACATGACACTGGGCGAACATGTGTTTTTCACCAGAAATATTTACCTTTCAATAGTGCTGTAAGGATTGCAACATCAATATCCTGGTGTTCTTCAGACCCCGTACGATATATAGTTATCTAGGAGACAGAAACCGTTATCAATTTAGAATCTAAGCTGCAATATGTATCACAGCAGAATGATATAAGCATCTTAGAAATTTAAAGTGGTTTTCAATAAGTTTTTTTTCCGGAAGGTAGTTCTACTAAAAGGGTAGGTGACAGTCAGGAAAATAGGAAGACTAAATGATGTTTAAATTGACGCTAAAAAGTTAAATGTAACAGGAAGACATCCTACTATGCCACACATTCATTACACTGTTTTTACACTGAGCGAGACAACCCATTTTATTTTTTTCCACTCTAAATTCCAGAATATAGAGTTCTAAATACTCACAAGGTTCTTGATTTTCATGCAAGCTAGTAAGGTCTGGAATAAATAAGTTGTGTCCTTCTGATTTAGGGTGAACATCCTCCTGATGGTAGCAATCAGCTCTGATTCTATGCCCTCTGGTAGACTCCTAAATAAGAAAATAAGCTTGTTTATTAATTCGAGCAACCTGCAGAGGGAACTTTATGTGTGACTGTTCCTAACCTAAAACACTAGCTTATATTATACTTTTATATTTTGGCTAGTTCAAAGTTCTTTGTTTACTTATATTTTACTAGGATACAATATGCATTTCAATGTACACAAAAAAGAGAAATTATCCCATAAATTGAGATACTATCCATTGTATGCTCTATGCAAACAAGTTGTTGAACAATCTACACATGGTTTGGCATGGGGCTTCAATGGACAGTGAACGGATATAATCCTGGATAATAAAGAAATCTGCTTGAATACAAAGTTTGAATAGCCAATAAATGATATAGTACACAGGCAAGCACACAGGATGAGGAATGTATTTCACTTGAAAAAGGGTTGTTCTAGTTTCTGTAAATTCTGTGATGTAGATAGATCTGGTAATGTATACAAATGTATCTATTTATTTTTTTCTGTGTGAAGAAAATACAAACAGGCTTGCAATGCCACAACAGCTATGGCAAGTTTTCAAAAGACATAAAAAGATAAATGCACCTTTTGTTCATTTTGGTATTAGAACCGCTACTTCAAGCAGTACGTAAAAATGGAGATGTCAGGGGAATACATATAGGGCAACGGGAATTAAAGGTTTCCGCTTTCGCGGATGATTTACTCTTTACACTCACTGATCCGACTACCACCCTTACAGAATTAGTGAACGAAGTGACCAAATATAGCTCAATGGCTAGTTTTAAGATTAACACAGAGAAATGCAAAATACTTAATTTCACGGTACAACAGGGGGAAGTGGAATGGCTGCAGAGGTAGTTTCAGTTCCAGTGGGCCCCTACATCGATAAAATACCTGGGTGTAAACATCCCAGCTAACCCTAGCACATTAAACGCATTGAATTTTCCCCGCCTGCTGAACGCCATACAGGCAGACCTACAGACATGGGATAAACCCACTCTTAGATGGATGGGAAGGGTCAATGCTATATCAAAGAATATACTCCCCCACATCCTGTGTCTCTTAACCCCTTAAGGACACAACTTCTGAAATAAAAGGGAATCATGGCGGAATATTTCCGTCATGTGTCCTTAAGGGGTTAATCACAATACCGATATGTCTTCCCAGGAGTTTCTTTAAAACCATTCAAACACTATTTACACGGTTCATCTGGGCAGGGAAAAGACTGCGTTTGGCTTATCGTATCATCACCCGCCCTAAACACCGGGAAGGCTTGGGACTTCCAAACATCCTCCACTACCAATACGCAGTACATATGAATAGAATTCTAGACTGGTCCATACAACCCCCCTCCAAACTTTGGCTTTACATTGAACAAGACTCTTCTCATACCCCTCTACAGGCCCTCCCTTGGGCAGTTTCAGAGTCTAGGAAGTACCCAATTCCCCAGCATCCAACCATTTCAGCAACACTTTCAGTGTGGTCCAAAATAGCCCACTTGCCTGAGATCTCTCCCACAATTTCACCAAGATATCCCATCTCCCACAACACCTTGTTCCCGGTAGGGTTAAAAGACCTTATACTACCCCTGACAACACATTTAGAGAGCGTACCATATATACCACTAGACAGTCTGTGGGGACCAGACAGGATTCGACCTCTATCAGATATGACAAACAGTATCATCCCTCTAGCACAGGCATTCCAATTTTTCCAGGCTCCACACTTCATCAAAACCCTGGACATCCCAGAGGGGGCTCTCAGGGCACATAAAGAGTTCAAAAGGTTATGCTCAGGCTCCTCAGTGGTTGCTAAGTCAACTTCACAATGTATTAAAATAATTCAGCCCCATCTTCATCAAGGGTTCCCATATTTCACCAAAAAATGGGGAGAACTACTTAGGGTTATCCATGGGGGGGAAGGAGTGGGAATCCATCTTCAGGGGGGTTTTCTATGCCCACTCAAGTGCCCGGTTGCAAGAAATTAATTACAAGTTGATTTCGTGATGATATCTCACGCTACGGGAAATTAATAGATTCCACCCAACCACATCCCTCCTTTGCTGGAGATGTGGAGAGACGACCGGTGACTTGTGCCATATTTAGTGTAAGTGTAAGGGGATAATGCCCTTTTGGGTACAGGTGGGGACCTCGGTACAGGTAATTACATGTATGAGCGTATCCCTTGAGATGGACAATATGCTACTCCTATAAATGGATACATCTTTAACAAAAATTCAAAAACTATTTGTTGTATTTTATGCTTACGGAAGCCAAGTCTGTAATAGCGAGCCTGTGGAAGGCGACCAAGACCCCAGGCTTAAAGGAATGGATAGCTAAAATGGAGCACTTTCGTACCTTGGAAGAACTCAGGTAGTCATCCCTGGGGAAACTGGCTCATTATACTAAGATATGGCATCCTTGGCTTTCCTATATGGGAGAGGGGACGAAGGATACACACAAAGGGAGCTTGGTTGTAGCTAGCTAAGGAAGATGACACCCTTTGCTTTACACTCTACTTTTTATTCTGTACCTCTTACTTTTTAATTTCATAAGTGTTGAGTGGACTACGTGTAACTAAACTGTATGACAAAGTACATAGTAGACAACCACACCTCCATTACAAGACATAGTTCAGCTGGACACCCGCATGGGGAATGAGCATATTAATATTTTCCTTGGTTACTCCTACAAAATTGACACACATAAGTATGGGAATAGAGTTTATAACATTGTATGCTCCTACAATGTATTGGGCAAAATGGTCCCCTAACTCTGGCAACGGGTGCAAAGAGAGAGAACATATGAGCCGGAGTGTACCCCTGAGCAATTCTCACTTGTATTCAGTGGAAAGTTTTGCAATCAGACGGTAGCTGGTCAGGAGTCTGTACTGTTTACCATTCACTCTTATTATAAACGTCTTCTCAGGCAATACCAGTCTAATAAACATGTGTGGAAAGGCATCATCTATTCATGTATAGGAACAGCTATATTGATTATTTGCAAATAGCCAAAACATGTAATGCTGTTACATTGTAAATACTGTGCTCAGCAAGTACAAGTTGAGATGTCTGCTCATTTCTATATTTGCCAAGTTGCTGTGAACCCATGTGTTTGATATTCTTCAATAAAAAGAAATTGAATAAAAAATTTAAAAAAGATAAATGCATGGTATTCGATAATACTGCACACTTTTATATTATAAAGCAGAATAAAATAAAACATGCTGAATGACTAGTAATTGTTCATTTAATCAATGTGTCAACTCCAATCAAAGTATTTCCTATATGTATAGACAGTATTTTGTTAGATACTTGTAAATTGTGTGGCAATTTCAGATTTATATAATAACTGACATTATACCCAGTTTACTGACCTATGTAACAAATGTAACTTACCATTGTGTGAAATATTCAACTATCTAAGAGTCAAATATTTTTAGCTTGCCTTTTATATAAAGATATCGATAGCTGGGATAAATGTATTGAATAATATTCTCCAAAAAACCTTATATCTAAAATTTCTAATCTAATAATCCCAGAGAAATCGAACATAAAAGCAAAATATATAAATAAATGGGAATGCAATATCAAATGTTCATTTTCCTTACAAATGTGGTATAAAGTTTGGTATACGACTAGGAAAGCCACACATTGTGTAAACGTACATGAACAATATTGTAAGTTAACTGATAGAAGGTATCTGCTACCCACTTGTATATCTAATTTTGATCAGAGCGTATCTAGAATATGTTGGAGATGTCTTAGAGAAGACAGTACTCAATTCCATATTTGGTGGAATGTCTAAACCTTGTCCAAATTAAAAATAAATTAGCAGTAATATTTACGACTATTTTAAACTAAAACTATGAGATAGCCCCTCAAACCTTTCTATTTCAGAACCGATGTACAAAATATTTATGTATAAACATACTTCTTGCTTTTAAGATATGTATATCCAGATATTGGGGAAAAAAACAGAGATTCGATCATGGCCTGGAATTCTAAATCAAATTCAACTTCAGGGTTGTTCAGAAAAAATATTGTTTTATTGGCAATGATTTAAAGGCTAAATTGTATGAAGAAATTTGGTCAAGATGGCATGGAAATTTACCGACAAGATGGATCCATCTTTTATAGAATAATATTCCAACATTAGCCACGTGAACTCTTTGGATGGCTCAAATTTAAAGGTGATAGACCCCAGGCAAATGGTGTGACTGGATGTTTGGAGTTTTTTTTTTGTTTCTATATTTCCTTGGGTTTTTTTTCTCCTTTGTGGTTTATTGATTGTATAATTATTGACAATTTGTTTGGATTAACAGGACTGTTTATTTGATGTCAATGAATAACTATGTAATAAAGATTTATACATTTTAAAAAAATAGTTCCACTCCAAAAGGCTCTGTGAGAGAGATGCGAGAGTCCAGGATACTATAAAGCATGGCTCCTTGATTTAGCCAGGTTTCTCATCAAGGGATATGAATCAAGGCCTCTTTGTTGTTCTTTAGCCTATGCCCACCAAGGGCAGGACATAGTCCCACAATATGGTGCTGTATATCGAGCCAAGAGTCAAACAATACCTTGATGGAAAGTCAGGCCCTGTGTCACTTTCTGCGTTCCCCATCATGCTTCAACCCACTTGGGAGTCCCCTGTCATGGCCTGTATGTGCCCGGCCCCAGTAAAGGTCTGTGCGACACTTTCCCCAGGCGTTGCCGATGTGGTCTATGCCGCCTGAGGTGGACCGCCCTAGCGGAGTGGCCACGCAGATGAGCAAGGTGGTAGGACTTGTGTGGCAGGCATGATGTACCTGTCTTGCAGTCTCTGCCAAAATTTTTAAAGAGGCTGACTAGCCGAAGCAGTACTCCGGTCCTCCCTTCCAGATGAATCAAGGGGCATGCAACCTCCGCCATTTTTAAAGCACTATTCTCAGTAGCTTTTTGAACCTTGGCATTGCTGCATGCCTCCTGTGGAGGGAAGAAGTCCTCACAGTGGAGACAGGGATCCCCCCACCGGTCCATGGGGGATGGTAGTGGGACTTCAGCTCCATGGTGTCACAAGTCAGTACACATTGGGCCAGGAGATTGGCCACCTCTCTCCTCCACAATGCACGCTAGGACTCACTCACAATCGGCAGAGATCTCCATGCAGACCATAGCAGATGACCGCTGGAGGCAACCCTGAGCCGGCCAGTTGATGCAGGATGCCTGGACTTCTCAGTCAGCTCAAGGTAGTTAGCCAAAGATACTGGCGACTGGACTAAATTGATAGAATCATATGGAGCACTTAGAAAACATGCACTATGTATTTCTAAGAAAATAAAATCAAACCTGAGAGAGAGAGAAAAAAGTTTCCTATGAAGTCACTCTAACAGTCTATAACAAAATGGTGAAGCCATTCTGGCTACACATATTGCAGTATCTTACTGCTCGATCACAGATATTTTCTTACCCACAGCTCTCAGTTTGTTCATAAACGTAGGCCAAAAGATCTGCAGCTCTCCCACTTCCCTCGAAGACAACAACTGGCACAGGAGGACTTTGCTGAAGATATTCCAAGACTGTGTAGATGCTGTTAGGGCCACCTTCAATTAAAAGAGCCACAAGAGGAACACGTGTGGCTGTCCCTAGAGGGGTGTTAGAACACATCAATATATATATATATATTTTATTTTTTTTAAGTATAGAACAAGTTTGAGAACATATAAAAAAAAAAATGTACCTCTATATTAGAGCAGCATACATTGGAAACATCTATTTTTATTGATTTGCATGTGTTTTGTAAGAGCTGGTTAAGAGACACCAAGTGGCATTTTTAAAAAGTATTGTGAATATAGCAGTGACAGAATTGTATTATTATTATTTAACTTAAAATCTCACTTGTATGAATTTGCTGTTGACTGATTTTCTTCTCCAATTCTCTTCGTATATGAATCTCCCCTCCGTGCTTCCCAACTGTCCCGTCATCCACCAGTAAGAAATGAGAATGGTGACTATTGAGAACATGGAGTTTGCTTAGTGGATTCTTCAAAGCTTGATACTGAGCCATAACCTGAACCAAAATAAATCTATAATCAGGGTTGTATGACTAGACAAGAGAAGGGCCATTTAGAGAAAGAGAAGTCTTACGTTTTGCCCAAGAAGATCATCTCTTCCTTCGATGACACCCCATGGGGCTATACCCACTGTACAAACTGTGTGGGTCATCCTGGAAGCCACTTCCTTTATGGAATCTCCTATCTCTGTTGCTACTCCTGTATTGAGAAAGAAAACTAGGTGTAAAGATCTCTAATAGAATTTTTCAGCGACTGTCATGACAATTTGGGATAATTTTCAGGCCATTTACATTGCAGGAAAATGTGTTGTCTGATTCCATTAAAAAACATTTAATGTGTTCCATTCAGGTAGTTTTAACTAGGCTTTATAGACCCGTATAACAGAGGGCCTACTATTGTCTATATTGTGTTCAATCAAAATAACTTTTACATAATTTCATGCATGGGACCCATTTAACATACAAGAGGACAGATATATTATTTTTAAATTTCTCACTGAACATGTTACTGCTCTTTAATCCATATATGGGTGGGAAAACCTCTCCTTAAACTTTTCTTACCAATTACAGTTTCTGTGCTGCAGGTATATTGGTTCCTGCAACACAAAGTCTCACAATATGGAACTTTCTCCATCTATTTATTTTAACAGTCCATTTAGTAAGGCATTAGGGATCTAAACATGGGTGTCTAAACGAGTATTGACTAGTGACATGAGGTAGGAAAAGTCAAAGTGTATGGAACCGTGAATCGTCTCCAAATTCCCAATCTATACTTGTCAATGAAGAGCAACAACTGCTGAAAGATCAAGCTTTTACACCCCTGTAAAGGTGTATGTAGGCACCAGCTATGATGCTATTTTCCTTCTACTGCATACTAACAGGAGAATAAAGATATCCTTGCTCCTCACCCGTGATGGCAGCCCCCAAATATCACTCCTAATCTAAATATTGGTATGGAATTCTTAAATAGACAAATAGTGCCTGAAGAGGTGAAGATGAGGACTATTGATATGTATAAATGCTATGAAATGCAATATCAAGACTTTCACTTACCAGTATTTATCCCTCCTGTTAGAATCCAAGCTCCCGTTGTTTCTGCTACCTTGATAAGACCCCTACAAAGTGCTTCTTTCATTGTGGGGTGCATCTCAAATTTGTGAGTTCCACCATGAACAGAGATAACCAGCTTTGGTATATTCATCCTCCAATAGTTCACCATGAGGTGGACTATGTCTTCAATTTTGCTGTCATCTGACAACCTGACATACTGATAGAACATTAGATGAACAGAATATAATAAAAAAAGAAACAGAGCTGTTGACATTCTGTCCAGAGAAAATCCTTACAAGGGGCAGAGGGACAACAGCACTGAAAAACACCCATAACCGCACTTCCCCAATACAGGGGATAATCCTAGTACAATAACCGCTTACGAGATAAAACAAAAAAAGACCCGAAGAGTGCTAAGACACTTCAGGAGTGTAAAGCAGTAAATTTTAAAACAACCTTTATTGACTAAAGTGGGTATGTAATGACTGACTCTATTATATACAATAGTACCCAAGGTTAGGAAGCCTTGAACCAATATATGCAAGGTAGCCACAGGCTGCCAGATAGAAAAGAGGTAGGCTGTCCACAGACACTTCAGACTACATGAAGTAAAAAAAAAATGAGATGGTATAACAAAGGTTATGTATATAATGTAGACATGCATTCTTTTGATAATGATTGCTACCTCTTGCAGCAATACCAGTAGAAAATGGTTATGAAATGTTTGGTTTACAATAGTGTTAAAAAAGAGACATGCAATAACAGCCGAAGCTCTACTGTTAGCAAATTAAAACAAGTGGAGCCTGAATATCTGTTCTATTATTTTCCCAAACTACATAAACATACAGTCGAGGTTCCACCTTTAGTGGGATATATCCATTCAAAGACAACCAATAGTTTGATTAAGATATTTCCCATTATCTTTTACCTTAGCTTTACAGCCTTGTGATCCACCCTGAAAAAGTATTGTGCCATAAGCATCTGTGGGACTCTTCACAGTGTGCCTCTCCACTGTCCAAGGTCCTAATTCCTGGTGGAGATTTGAACCCAGGTGTTCACTACAGGAGCTACTACCCAGATTACCAGTGTAATGTGAATGTTGTCGTATTAGCTGGCCGCAGCAGCACCTACCATTAAAAAATAAATACATAAATAAATTTTAAAAATAACTTCAACTCTATGGGGATCTTTAGATGGAGTCAGGGGGTACAATATAAAATCTTGTTATTATTGGTGGTGTCATGCCCCTTTCACTACTGAGCACTTTTTGATTGAAAAAATCTTAGCATAGCATTTATTTGAAGCAAGGGGTGCATAGCTAGCAAATGTCAACATATCATAAAACACAAACAAAAATGTGTATAGACTGATTTGCAGACAGACTTAAAAAGTTAAATTATGCATATTTACACAATTTGTATTTTTCAATTATTTATTCAATCTATAAATTATATTTCAGGAATAAAAAGCTTTAGACAGTATAGTTACCTTTATTGTACAATATCTCACATTAAGTCTAAAATGTTAGTATAAAACTAAAAGAAAATATTTTTCTCACATACAGTAGGTGTAACAAAAATAGATATATAAAAATGGTCAAATACCTTCCTTATTGGTATTTATAGGAGCTACCAGTACAGCTTACTAAAATAACTTACTAAAAGAAACAGAATGCAAAAAGAATGTGCATTTATGCATAATTTCCACACAGTAAATAAAGTTAAATCATATCTTTCTAAAATAAAAATGTATTTAAAACTGATATAACAATATTTACTCATTTCTCGAATGCTAATTTCCTCTCCCTGTGTATAGGAATTATATGACCCATTGAAACCTGTACTGTTTGAAAGCAGCAGGTGATCTTACTTTTTTCACAAACTGACAAGTATTAAATTAGTGAACCATAACTTCTGGCATAGAAACTAATTTTACTGCAGGTTGGTAATTATTCAAAGAGTATAAAATAGGGTAAGTGAGGATTTATGGGCTAAATTTCATACTGCAAAATACATGAAAATAAAACTTGTATATATACAGTATCTCACAAAAGTGAGTACACCCCTCACATTTTTGAAAATATTTTATTATATCTTTCCATGTGACAACACTGAAGAAATGACACTCTGCTACAATGTAAAGTAGTAAGTGTGTATAACAGTGTAAATTTGCTTGAAAACATTATAAAGCATTGCATTATTTCACATTCAGATTTTCACAATTGAGATTTATAGATATTTAAAACCATTTAATATGTTAAAATAGACCCTTTTTAAAGAAAAAAAACATATATATGTTGGTAACTAAGCACATTAGGACTGGATTTCCAATGAATTTAATTATGTCTTAAGCTAAGACGTTGTGGGAGGAAGAATAACCATTGTTTAAAGGACCACTATAGTGGCAGGAAAACAAAATCGTTTTCCTGGCACTATAGGGTCTTTAGGTCTCCCCCACCCGCTGGGCTGAAGGGATTAAACACTTACCTTTCTCCAGTGCCAGGCTCCCTCGGCACTAGGGAACTCTCTTCCCTCTTTTGACATCAGCACTGAATGCGCATGCGTGGCAAGAGCCACACGCGCATTCAATCGGTCAATAGGGAAGCATTTCTCAATGCTTTCCTATGGACGTCAGTGTCTTCTCATTGTGATTTTCACAGTGAGAAGTGCAGAAGTGCCTCTAGCGGTTGTCAATGAGACAGCCACTAGAGGCTGAATTAACCCTATGGTATACATAGCAGTTTCTCTGAAACTGCTATGTTTACAGCTGCAAGGTTAACCCTGGATGGACCTGGCGCCCAGACCACTTCATTGAGCTGAAGCGGTCTGGGTGCCTATAGTGGTCCTTCAAGTTCCAGTCACTCTCTGATAGACCCCCCATTTCTAGTTAAACCCTTTTACACTTGCTTTTGCAATGTTATAGATCTGATAAATATAATAATTTACATTTTTTGTTGTTGTTGTTTTTGTATTCTTACATCTTTTGGGTTTGTAATGTTGCCAGTAATATTTCTTTCTTAGAGCCCTTGGGGTAGGAATCAAAGAAAATCCAGGGGGACAGCATTTCATAATACATTAAACTATGCTGTTTTCTACACGGAAAATGATAAAGTATCACTAGGGAATCTATTAGTAGAATAAGATAACCAGCTCTATTAACATGTTGTGATATTCATATCTTTCTTAAACACTAAAACATATAATGTTAAAAAAACTTTAAGGGGGGATTTGCCACCCCCTTTTTAATACACCCATGTGTGGAGCCTATGGAATATAAATGTGACCCTTATACATGATCTGTCTGGTAAGAAAATACACTTAATGAACATGGCATTACCGGACAAGTCGCTGGCAAATCTGACATCCTGGAATGCACCTAAACAACAATTAGCAAATAAAAAAAAGAACATTTTAGTTTTTGAGAAAAAGGGATTAAAATATATAGTACCTACAAAGGACTGTCAGTCAAGTGTAAATTCAGCTATCAGTCATTTCAATGTGCTTATATTTCAACTTTTCTGTCGCTTTACCATTTTACTCCTTATAGACAAGCAACACTGACAATAATGTTTCAACAATAACAGTCTACATCAGACATCATTGCAATATTAATTAAACATTATACAGTTTAATTCTGACATTACTACTGTACAATTTTAAGTGTGAGGATTTTTAGTCCAGTTCTTACATTATTATAGTTCAGTTATTATTTATTATAGTGCAGATCAAAATTAATTGTTGCATAATTTTAGTGCTATTAAAGTTTACTTTTGACACCATTCAGGAACAATATCTTAAATTAGTTCTTAGATCAGAACTATACAAAATAATGTAAGGCATTCTCTGTCTCATATTATTGGTATTAAATTGTTCAGCCTGAATATCATTACACAGTATTTCTTACATCTCTACTGGATGCACAAAACACAAATTAAGTAGAATGACTTAAAGTAATGAGACAAGTAGATTAGTAATAATGATGATGGTATTATTCACCTTATGGAAATATTAGAGGTTTAGCAGAAGTTGGCCTAAGATTATTGCACAAAGGCACAAAGCCTACTCTCAACCCTCTACCCAAAACACAGTTAAAGAGTTTGGGATTTTGAGAATCTGCCTATTTACCTCAATTCCCTGAGAATCTAGCCATTTATTCTGAGATTCTGCCCAATGGCAACCTTCCAATAAGTTTGAGGAGTTGCCCAATTACCCCAAGAGAATATATTTTCCTGAGAACCTTCCCAATTATCCAGAGACATTGTGTAGTGCAGAAATAAGCCCACTCACCTAGAGAGGTAAAGTATATATCTTGTCATCTCGGGCCTTTGACCAAAGGTGGCAAAAGAGATAAGATACATCAAAGGGGGAAAGACATTAAGATATGAGGGCAGGGGTTTTGTAGAAGTTGAGGCAGGGGTTTTTGTTTAATTATTTTAGATTAATTTAATAAGAGATATGAAGTAGTTGCAATAAGGATTTTAATATATGTAAGAAAAGGTAGATCTCATTGAGCTGGTAATATAAAAAGTAGACTATGACAATAAACAATGTGGGCACCCCTACTGAAGAGAGACCGAAGCAGCAAGAGCATTTGCACAGCCCTTTGTTAACCATTATATAGTCAGCCAGTCAACTCAAGCTTTGTTACCCTGCATCCCTCCTCAGCTTCCATATTTATTACCCTCTGGTCAAAGCAAGAGAATATGAAGAGTAGTAAAAAAACAAAAAGAAAAAAAAACAACAATGGGCCTATTTCAGGAGCATGGGCCTGCATCTTCGGCTCAGTCAGCTCTATAGGACTCGTGATCAGAGTCAAGGGATGGGGTTCAGGCCCAACACAGCTAATAATTTCCAATTGGTCTCCAGCAGTTCATGAGTTCATAATGTACCTGTATTTTACCCTCCAGTTAGTGTTGAACTAGATCACCATGCTCGACAGGCCACTCTGGTGTGTAAGCAGGTATGCAGGGATACTGGTATTTACAGTTTGCCATCTCAGCAGGTTATCTTAGAACACTTAGAACAAATGTGCTTAATAAAGTGGAGTTGTAACTTGGAACTCATCATGGCACACCATGAGGGGCTGGTGCACCGCACTTCTTCCCAGGGTGCTACCAGATTCTCTGCGTTTTTCTGGCTGGAGAGAGCTCTGATCTCTTTAATGAGAGCA